ATCCGTGCCCAACTTAGGATGCATAATTATACAAACTACGGTATACCCGAGGATATTCGAACGTATTTTTACCTGGGTCCGCATAGAAAAGAGAGCTAGGGAACTTGCTTGTTGTAGACGGCGAAAACGTGTCGCATGTATTTTTTGCTCAATGCGACTTACCCAGTCAGGAGGTAAGTTCCTGTAGAAAATATGATGACGTCAACTAACCAACGCTTTAACGTGTACTAAATCCAAATGAAGTGACTGACCATTTCCAAGGCTGAAGTTTGAACTTGGGCAACAGAGCTGCCTTTCAAAGACTATAATGGCTGCGTTTTTGACTATTCCAATGCAGTCGTATGCAATGATAAGAGTTAAGTGTGTCCTTTTAGAAAACGGGCAGATGATTTTCGAATATTTTTAGCGCCAATTTGGCGACACGTTGCTTGTCCAACACCGATCTGCTGCCACCAGCTTGGCGCGCTTGTCGATGTTCATTCGGCTTTAAGTGCTGCTGAAAAAAGGAAGAACCCTTTAAACTTGTCACAGATGTAAACGGCACAAAGTCCCTTGTTACGTGCATTTCAATCACGCCCTTTTTATATGAAGTGCTTATTCACGTTTTTCGTACCCTGCTAAATAACGGCCCTCTTAAATTTCTAAAATTAAGGGCAATAGAAACGCTTGGCGGAAATGTTTCCGTCACTTAATGTCGAGTCGATACATCGCGGTCTTGTTAGATGTTGAAGGTGCACGCTTCTGGGTTTATGATGCGCACCCGTAATACGCAATTCAAATACTAAAATACTCAAAAATGATCTATGGCCTAGCTCCGATCCATCACGCCTAGCTTAGTATTTAATTACAAATTTTTTCCTGATCAGTTTCTGATCATGCCGTTGATCATACCGGGATTAATACTTGTATAGCACCGAATATCCGGTTGTTACAAATCTAGCAGTCATTTCTGCTTATTTATTGACATCTATAATTTTTCGTCCCCTGACACTCGAATGAAATCTACCCTTAAAAGGCCCTATTTTTGTTATACAGTGCTGTTATAATGGGTTTGTTTTCGGACTAAGCACTTTACATAAGGCTTGAAGTCCAAATATGCCAGGTGAAAGAGGAATTAATATGAAATGCAGCGGCCTTTTTTAGGCAGTAGCTATTTGCTTACTAGGTGTATAACGAAAATCCTGCAGTTGAAAGATACAGGTTGATCTTACAATTATTCCTTCTGAAAAAGTAACGATTCTACGAGACTCCCGTAAGGCTTGAAAAATAGAATGGGAGACACGAACTTTCGTCTACATAAAGTTTGCGGAAACGACCCAGGAAATGTGTGGTGCAGGCGGTGAGGTCCTTGTAGCTACGGTTCAGGGCCTCTCAATAATTTCCATTTTCAAAAGTGACTTTTAACGACACTCACAGAATTTGAAAAGTGAGAAAAGATTATTTTCCTACATCGAAAATGCTATCTTTGAGCTGAGTAAGCCTTTCTCGGGTAATACATTCAGCTAAGCCCTCGGCGCACGCCTTCCACACCCCACCAATCTTGAGTTGTTTCGGCGGCTTCTTGATGTCGGAGAACAACTGACGAGATGTTGATAATAAATCTTAGTTTGCTATTCAACATACCCGTGTCTGGAGTCGAAACGGCATATTGTAACGCAAAGAGAAAACATCCTTGGAGAAGCTTTACGGTCGTATATGCCTTCGGTCATCGCCAAAGTAAGCATTAAACAGATGACGAAAGCGGCCACTATTTTCTCAGTTGTTAAAAAATAATGGCCGCTATCAAGCGATACTGGCGCCTGCTACAGCCACTGTGCGCTTTGATCTAAGCAATGTTGATCGCATCGAACAATAAGCTTGTTATCCTGGAATTGAACAAGTCAGTAAAAGATTACCATAACGGCGAAATAAGCTTTTCAGAATGATGAGTTGGCAGAGTTCGACTTACTATCGTAAGTTAACTTAGCAACATACGTTCGCGTAACAGATTGTCTTCGGGCGTTGTCTCTTATGGCATGACGCGTCGATGATCTCTATATTGATAATATAACCTCAAGCGAAGTCGTAGCACGTTCGCAAGGACAGGCAATAGAAGCATCCGCAGCAGCGACAGTGACGTTTCAGTTAAGATTAATGAAACGAAATTAAGAGCAGCGAACGGCACGAAAGAGAGATGGTTCAGTCAAGGAATTGGTTGCAGGCAGGCAGGCAGGCAGGCAGCAATGCTACCAGTCTGCTGGCAGACCCAGTGCCGTTTGACTATTAATTGTCTCTACGAGGAGGAAGGCAAGAAATTGGGAGAGCAGGAATATGGGCTGATGCCGGATAGTTGCACACACACTCAATTGGTGACTCGAGTGTTTGAGTCATATCCCCTAGACCACCCCTCTTGCGCTGCTGAGCGCGGCCAGGAAGGATATGATCGGGGCAGGGGCCTGGTAATGGGGCTCTGGTGTTTGGTTCTATCGCAGCAAAGGCGCCCCAGACGTCAACACCCTTCGTTGATGCCAAGGCGGTGATGACATCGGATCGCGAACAGATAAGCCGTCTGATGATACAGTAATATGGCAAGATGACCGCCTCTGTCTACTCAATGAATGAAAACTATTCATCCATCGAACCAGTCCAGCTGTTCGCTATCATTCAAGACCTTCAATCGGACGGCTCAGCTACACCCGCTTCAACTAAAATTACCTGATGGGTTGATGCGGCTGTCAATGGAATGCCTTTCAAGCGGCAGAATTTGTTTGAATTTTTAGGACGTTAACGAATTCGATCTCTTTTCAACAAAAATCATTTTCTAATTGATTTTTTTCGTAGCATTTGAACTTTTTTTTAACAATTTTTGACGGGATAAACGATCAGGTGCTACTCAGCTTAGAAAATAATTATGGAATTTTGAACTTGGCACTAAACAGATATGGCTAGACTAGCACTAGTACGAGTATTCTAAAGCATTACCAAGGACAAAAAAACAGAAAACGACGGTAAGTCAACAGCTTGTTTGCAGGACGGTCCACTCTAAAACTGTTGAAATAAATATAGCTGGAATGTTAGAGTTTTGGTTTGAAGTAGGCCTCGTTTTTGGCTTTTGAACAATACTAGAATTGAATACCTATACATTTGTCTACAAGAGGGAAAACGTGGAATTCATTTGTTCCGTTAGTGGCAGTCAATGTATGAAATGATCGCATATAACGAACCCTCAAGATGCATGCGAATTCCCTTTCACCCTAATAACATCAATTATCGTGCTCCCGTTGCTGCAACTATTATATCAATTACTACTTGTTTTTTGAGATTGCATTTTTAATTTGCATGAAGTACCATGGGTGAGTCGTCAGCGTTAGCTCATGCGCTCATTACTTTCCTCAGCGCCTGTGCCGGTTCGTCCCAATGTAAGGGCCTGCATTTGGTCCTTCAGCTGGAGTTCGGGTAGCCATAACCTAAGACGCTAGTCAAGAGCAACGTACGAACAGAAACGGCAAGCAGAATCCCTCAGATACGAGCAGCTAAGTGGTTTTTCTCTTTTGTCTCTCGGCCCGAACCATTCTCCATTTTGTCTGCCAAGTCCACCCGTTTTTTTACCCGTTTCGTGAGTGCCTGGCGCCTTTGAAATTACGCGTTTCCACCAACAGTAGGAGTTATGCTGTACGTGCCTTTTCTTTAGCCCCGTTATTCCTGGTTCCTTAGGACATGGCTGCGTTTGCTCGACAGGCCAAGAATGCGTGAGGAGCTATCTGAAGAGTTGGAAGCACGCCGCTGGCGAGTTTGGAGGGACTAAAGGCAAGAAGTTGGTCCCGATCCTTCTTCGGTGGTGTTGCTCTTACCGCTGCTGCTAGTAGAAGTATTCATTCATTCTTTCGAAGATACAGAGCAAGAGGAAAAGAGTCGATGGAAAAACCGACAGCGCCCGACGGAAAAAGGACGGGAGTTAAGCGAACAGTTGCGGTAGCAGTGACTTTACTCCAATAGTTTCAGTAGTAACACGAGCTTGAACACGCAAGTTCTGGTGTGTGCTGCAGGACTATGGGCAACGGGACAGAGGCCTCATATGAGTTTCGAATAAAGAAAATAGGAATGGCGGGTCTGTCGACCACAGCCAACGTATAACAGCAACAAGTTAAGATGAAACGGTTCTCCGTCGTCGTCGTCGTCGCCGTCATCCAATGCGAAAAAAGGAGAAAGAGAAGCGATTGGGAAAAAGAGAGAGTGGGCGAGAAGGAAGGCAAGAGCAGAGAAAGAAGACTTGTGAATGCGCAGAGGAACGAAAAACGACACAGAAAAAATAGACGAATGAACTAAGAGAACCCGGAAAAATGGAAGATAGAATACAAACAGTAAACGACAGAAACGCGACGAAGAGAGAAATACAGAAGAGAGCGGATGTATCGGTGTCGGTCAGCTGGAGGCAGACCTATCAACTAACCAACAGATACAGGAAATGACAGCAACAGCAGCCAAAGCAGAAGAGACCTCCCAAAGGAAGCAGCTAGCCAGCACAGTGTATCTAACGCCCCTATGGTAAAGTTAGCACAGTTTAAAATAAGACATATAGAAAAACTGAAATGGATTAAAGCAATAGGCCACTAGTAATTACTAGAAAATATAAGTGCATACTTGAAAGAGGTAATAGTAAGTAGATAAGAAATAGAAAGGGAAACAGAAAAATACTGATAGTAGGAAAAGGGCGGCCGAGGACGGTATATCTACCTGATGAGCTGCAGAAATAGACACGTTGCAAAGTGTTGGGTTAGGGGGGTTGTGCTGAATTGAAAAAAAAAATATAAAAACATGTGTGCCGTAATGGCAGAGTGTGAGCGTCGGCCATTTCTCGACAGCTACTGCGTTTTCGTTATCGGTAATGGGCTTAGTTGTGTCTTTTTGGGGGCTGCTTTTTAGGCTGCTACCTTGGGATAGAAGCAATGCTACGACAGACAGGAAGGATACAAGTAAGTTGCCTTACGTCAACAAAGCGGATTGTTTCTTGGAATACTTACTTGGTGCTTGTCAGGTTATGCCATGCTGTGTTGTTCAACTGTTACAGCGTAGCTACTATTATAGCTGCTGGTGACTCTATTACGTAGACAAGGTCGAGAAGTAGAAACAGCTGCACGGCGGCCACGCCCGAACCTAAGGAAGTCATACTAAACAAAGCGGTTAAAAGGAAGCAAAACGAATGAGAAACGGATGGAAAACTACCGTCTCTGTGGTCGTAGTCGTGGCAGTTATGATGATAAAAAAGTAGTCGTTGCGGTAGCCCCGGGAGTACAGCAGTACTAACCACATCAAGCGCTAAAATAACGTTGAACAGGCAGACGACGGGGGCAAACAACAAAACGGAAGCGAGACTTAAGAGCTGAGGAGCGGGCGGGTATGGCAAAGCGAACAAACCACTTCTATGGCAACAATAGCACCTCACCCAACGACAACCGTCAATGGCTTGTGAGAAAGACGAGATTAGTCCTGCGGGAATTTTGATCTTTCCATGTTTATATGTACCTGTTTAGACGAGTGACCAAAGGTCGAATACGTTCATCTATCAAACGGTGCAGGGACATGCGGCGATCGGCCGGAAGAACGTATGAAATAAGACCAACGGCGAGAAAGGGGCTGATTGACGACAGGGATACCAGAGATGTTGCCTGCTACGGGGAAGGTCAAAAACAAAGATAGTTACTATGGAGGAGAAATAAAACTCGAACAACCAGTGAAAAGTTTTTAGACATCATCCGTTGAGTTAAAATCTCTCATCGGAATTCCCGTTAGAGTCAACTAAAGATGCCAGTGATCCTGTGAAGCTTTAAGCTCTCTTTTATCATTGAGATTATTTCTTTTGAAAACCTACAAGACCGGGCTTAATATAAAATATGTGCACTGATTAGTCCATGAGCAGGCAACCTTGTATTGGACTGAAAAAATTAATCAAGGAAAACATGTCTGGTATTTAGAAGGACCACGTTAGACGTTTCTAATCGATTTCTAATCGAAGCTAGCTGGATACTCAGCCCAATGAACATGAATGACTTCTTGGACTCACTGTATCTCCGATTGTCTACTCTGTTTCCTCTGACTTTTGCTCTCTTTCACTCTAGTTTTCTCTCATGGACCTTTCTGTGGCGGATGTCGACAAAGACGGCGACATACAACGGTCTGAGTCAAAGGTTCGCTGAAAAGAATGCGGGGTATAAGCAGCCTAATACGTTCAGACATCCATCTACCTCTACCCCGATATCAGCAACAGTAGCAGCAGCATTAGCAGCGACAGGAACATAGCGGCTATCTAATGTACGTCGGTCTGTCGCTTTGCCTCTGGTTTGTCTTTCGTACTGCATCAGAAAAGGCGACCTACCAAGTGATCCCTTTCTTGTCGTCTTTTTTTCTGGAATAGAGAGGCAGGGATGACAAAGAATGGCCATCCATAGAAAAAAAAGGACCTCCTTCACGAGCGATCTCCATCAGGACCAGCAGCAACCGCATTGTCCCCTTCCCTGCGTTCCCCAAAGATACCCCTCTAGTTCTCTTTTTCTGATGAGTCCTTTCTCCTGCTTGTTGCGTCCAGCTACACATAAGCCCGCGCAGACCCACGGGCCTTGAGAACCCTCAGAATGCATGGCCCTTGACAGTCAGGCTAGCGAATGCCAAGCCATACCATCCACGCACGGTAATGGGAGACCAGTGGTCCCAAGTTGCTCAAATAGGAGTGCTTTCCCATGGAACTAAGCAAGGTAGAGCCAGTGGACCTGACCAGGTCTCTCAGCGTACTCTTCTCATGCTCTTCTCTACTTGCAGCGATAAATACCCAGAGGCTATTGAGAGTAAACGCTGATCTGCGCCCACAGAAAATAAAGGTTCTTCCCAAAGCTTTGTACAAGGAATACTTTCTATGGTATTTACCTTAGCTGGTCGATAAAATCTTTATGTAAACAATCTACGACACAACGGTAATACAATATAACATGGTGTTATAGTAAGAAAATACGTATCAATATCAGACAATTATTATAAATACTTTCTGCTTTACTCAATTAAGCACTGAAGTGAGACTCAGCTTTAGTTAAATGCTTGTATTGGTTAGCTAGTTCAACTGTTCAGCTGAATTGCTTTAGATTTGTGTTGCAATGTTTTTTTTTTTCTGAAAATCTATGCAAGAAACATATTCAGATAGGTAAATATAAGGTTGGAAAGCTTCTGGACATTTACAAACCCTTCTGTAATTGTAATGTAGCCAAAAATACCGAAATTGTCACGATAAAAATCTACAACACCGTTGTAACAGAAACTTCCTAATTCTAAACCTAGGCGTACTGGAAGATATTCTAATATAGTTAATAAAACCACTTAGATGGTCATAGTAGTCATTGTCGTAGCTATTACATCATAGACACGCGAAATGGAAATCAGAGTGCCTCTGTCAGGAATGAGTCTTTTTTTTTAACATTTCGCGTAATTTAATTCACTTCTTAGTACTTTAACAAATGCGAGATAAAGGTTCTCTAACTTCAGGTCAGAAGACCTTTGGCCGACACCGTATATACATATATATATATATATATGTATATACGTCGGCGTGTAAGAAAAATTGCCTTCCACCGCACCAATTTAGAAGCGTGTCAATTCCATGGACTACTTCGTCTTAATCCATTTGATGATACAGTGTACATCTATACATACGGTACGTTGTACAATATTGTTTATGTTTATAAAGCTATTTAATGCTATAACTATAGACATATTCACAACAGCATCCGTTCAGTTGTCCAGGAAAGTTTACTAAAATAACGGTTATTTAATATTTAATAGGTATAGTTAATATGGTCGTAGTGTGCCATTGCTTGTTTGATGGCTTGTACGCACCTTGTAAGTTACAGACCGTCACTTTGCTTTAGGACATTTTTAACTAGCGGACATCCTAGTCAAGTAAATAAAACGACAGTTACACGTCACTAGAAAATTTGCCCAATGAATTCCAAGATATTGTTGGTTCGGGCGTGTTGATAGAGCTCGGTGTTCGTTAACAGGAGACATATAAGCGTGAAAAGAGAAGCATGGGTTCCGGGACAGAGCACGAGCTCAGCCATAGGTGTTCCAGATGATGCTTTAGCAGTACAGAAAAAAAATCCACTAAATTAACAGAATGTGCAAAAGTCAATGAGCAAAAATTGCTGTGCAGATCGGGTCATGTACACGCCTCTCGTATCGTTGTTCGCTACGAAGAATCGCTCTCGATAGCGTCGCCAGAACAGAGAGCCTTTTCGCTGTTTGCCCCATTCTTGCCCTTCTATATTCCTCTGTGTTATCATTTGCCGCTATCTTCTGACGTGGTCTATTATGTGCTCGATATAATTACGACTACCCTTAAGATGGTCGAGTATATGTATATACTGGCAAAATAATATTGAAAAAGGGACAGATTTTCCCACCCAACCGACTTATAGCTAATGGTATCATTAGTTTAGTTGCGTGTAGAAAAACTGTCATAAATTGTGATTCGCATAAACCGTATGTAACTGACGCGGTGGCTTCGCCTGTTAAGCCTATGAATGAAAGAGCCTATGTATCGCTGCTTCAGGACCCGCTAAGGACGTATATAACACAACCGTGTAAATAGAAAACGCTATTTATTATTCTTAAATAAATCCATGGTTCATTACTATTGAACGGGTTTATACTGCATGGACGTAGTAGCCCAATCTATGAACAGTACGGAGTACATAAGTTAATACTACTATTCGGCATTGACTAGCTGTAAATTTCCTCCATTTTAAATACAGTACCCGTAACACCTAGTGGAAATCGTTGCCATAACATCCTGATTATAATTCTGCACTCTGTTTTGTTCGTGCCAGGTCTTCTGTGCCATTAAATCACTTGTTCCTAATATGTGCATGTTCCGGAAACATAGGGATTTAATAAGGAACGTCTCACCACGAGCAATATAATTGCGACTATTATCGTGTGTACATCGGTGTACAAAGTGAGACAACTCTGAAAAGAAGTAATTTTTTAATGGTAATATAAAATACATAGTATAGTTAGAATATTCTAAGTACAAAGAAGTACAGAGTGGAGAGACGATGGATAGGTCTCTATCCAATTAATATTCCTATTGGGCCAAGCTTCCATTATTTGTAAGCAACTCGCATAACAGGGGCAGCAAAAAATGTGTTCTATGGAGCCATTTGTTGGGAATTGGTTGACAATTCGATAAACAAATAGGGCATACCATTATTACTAAGACATCAATGTTATCTCGTACCGAATTTGTTTTTCTGTGAGAGCTTCTGTAACAGGCATTTTGGAAACTAAAGGCCAACATTTAAGATCTTGAATAAGAATCAAGAGTTGCACTTAAACAATCCTTGTGCGATCAATAATTCTGTTGGTATCATTGTATTTGTATTGCACAGACAGATATAAATTTCCTTGTGTATTGCATAATAACAATATACAAAATAACAGACAATTGGAAAATTCTCAAGCAAAGCCCTGTTTTTCCAATTAACACAGAAAGTAGAACTTGCAGCACAAGTTACTCGACAAAAATATTTCTCATATATTTATTGCGCCACATTATATATAACGATAATGCTATGGGATGTAAATGTACGTTTGTCGAAGGCTAATAGAAAGGGGTCTCAATAAGCAACATTTTGCCTTCGCCAGTTACAAACTGGAAAATCTCGATCCCTCTTAAATAAACTGTAAGAGACGTGTGGGTAAACGATGAACGCGAAATAGAAACAAAATATACGCACACTTAGTAAATATAATTAAGTTTAGAATGAATGTACAACGATAAATTTCACGTTAAATGAATCAGATTATGACAGTAGCTAGGTTCCATTTTAGACCGTGTAACATTTATCTCCTTTTAAAGAATCGGACTAGAGATTACAAAAGGGATATATTTAGCGATGTTTGAGCTTAACAATGAGTAAAAAAAAAAATGAAATAAAAGCCTCTTATATGAACATGTACACGCCTCAAGGTAATAAGAATTGCATGAAGGAAAGGCCCCACAGACGAAACCCTCTGGCATTCTGAAAACCGTATCTGTTTCTTCAGCTAGTTCTAACTAGTCACTAAAACAAACTATTCAAGATAACAGTTTGCGATACGAATGGAGGGCATTTTATCTAAGTAAGTCAAATAAAAATTACCATCCTGAGCTAATTAACCAAGTAATATACTGATATTCAGTTTCAGTTCAGCTAATGAGTATGTACAATGTATTTTTTGCTGAAATTCCTAATGAACTCAGCTATTCTCGGGCTCTGGTGTTTTTCAGCGATATGAACAGATGGATTATCTAAAACCTTCATGTTAGTTCATTAGAAAGTGCCTGATAGGAACGGGTTATCCGCGTCAACATTGAGCGCTTCCACAGGATACCAAATTGAAGAATCGAATTGAACAACATACTTAAACTTTTTTATTATTATACAAAGATACGAGTTCGTGTCTGTTTTCGAGAGACCCGCTATCGGCAGAGCTGTCCGCTCGAGCGTGCCGGTCAATCGTCGCGATGTCGCATGCCTCTTCTGCATAGACGGTGAATGGGAAATAGTATGAAAAACGGAAGTCTTACCTTACTGTTTGGCCTAATTTAACCTATCATGTACCAGAAAGAGACATTTGTCAGTGGACAAGCCTTGGCATTACAGAACGATTCGGTCTCAAGTCACAGTACCTGACTACGTATATTAACATTACATATTCACCTTTGAAGCTGGTTGAAGTCTAGATCGAATTCGTTTAAATTAAGGCGGGTTTGCGTTTGCTCGCCATACACCTGTTCCGCTAATCTGAAACCAAACCGTGCACCATGGAATCGGTGGTTGCTAGTTAGCTCCTGTTACTCTATAGCCTAGGACCTTCAATTTGAACTTGTTATCGACATTTTTACCAAAGCTATGGAAAATCGTCCCCTGATCATAGGAAATCAACGACAAGAGATATTTAGGTTAATGCCAGACGCAATAAAGCTATCCCCACTAGAAAACGCTACAAAGAAAGGTTCACTATAACTGATCGTGTCATGCGAAGCTGAGACCGTTTAGTAGACGTAAATTCATAAAATGCAAGTTCTAAAATCAGCGGATTAATCGCATTTAGTACATATATGATTCAGTGTCTGCCCTGATTCATAACATGCGTTCATATGCGTTCATATACTACATATCTAGTTGCGGAGGGAAAATCGTCCAAAGACGTGCTTCGTACCACCAACGGATCATTAATGAAACTAACTTTACTAGCTAATGCTAGTAAACCTAGATTTATTAATGGCTAAAGTAGTAAAGTTAGTAGCTCCTGCTCCATGTAATTCCTCGTCAGTCTCATCTTCGGTGCTACGGGCGTGCTTACTTGCGCACGCAGTAGCTCTTCTCCGTCTGGCTCTTCGGGATTCGTCCGCTTACGTAGCACAGCATTCTCACCCCTCGAACAACTGGACGATGGTCATGTTAGTAGTTGTTTGTAGCAGCTGGGCAGGACCGTGTGTCCTACACAGCACCTAACCAGTCCCGCTGATGACGGCGAAAATAGAATGCACCACCACTGGCTTTTCCTCTGCATCTGCGGTCTTTGTGATCTATGTCTTCTTTGGCTTCGTTTTGTTTCTGTTGCCCTATGCATTCATTCCCTGTGTACTTGGACGAAAAAGCGAATTCTTTCTAAGATGCACCAAGCTGTTTGCTAATATGCCCACCATCAGGCCACATCCTGCATCTCATCTTGGCTAGCGCTTTCCTAGACGTTAGGGGTTCGGTGCGTCCCTGCGCAATCCTTAAGCCCTGGGTCTTTCCGGGCCCCTCAACTTTGCGCTCTGTGTTTCTGCTGCCGCGAAGAGAGGTAGCGCAATTCAATATCGTCGTTACAACATGCGCTGTCTCTTTCACTGCGCCAGTGTTGGCCGCCAGCAGCTGCCGACCAGCCTAGTAGCGGTAGTAAAAGGCGGATGTAGGGGATCGCAGCGAACACGTGCTGCTACTGCTGCCGCTATGTAGAGCTGCAACTGCGACTAGCAGCAGCAGCAGCAGCAGTTAGCAAGGCGAACGGGGGTCATTAGTGAAACTTTATGTGCCTCCTGGGTCTCTCGTCCTGCCGAGGGGATGACATCGTGCTTCACGACGGCCTCCTACCCTACAACCCCAATATACACACATGGATGTATATATGTGTATATCCTACGCGATCGAAGCAACATAACCTGTTAACAAATGGGCCATCTGGTCAGTGAAGCGGGCGAACAGGCAAGGAACAAACAAACTAAAGGAAATACACTTCTGGCCCGCTAGTTTGCGTCTCACTATTTATTGTGCAATGTCAGTCCATGAAGAAAATATGCAAATTCTGTTTATACCACCATTAGCTGTACCATCAGTAGTAGAACCATAAGTTTTAATATGCAGTCGATGTCGCTCGCACTTTATTTATGACCTCTTCGATAACTTGTTGTTCTTTTTTTTTCAAAAGCGCCTTCGGGCCTATCGCATTCTATCGAAAAAATATAAACACTTCTGTAAAGTTAAATCAGCAAGTAGACTATGTCGTCATTGGCGAAGATTTGCATGTTCAAGATAGATGTTTTCCGTTCAGTAGTTATACGACCGATTTTTGTTGAATTTGGATGCTATATTTGGATGAAGAATTGTTTTGACGCTTAAAAGTTTGCTTCCTGTATGAGCCTATTATATTGCCTTTACCCAATAGAGCATATAAAACTAGTTCACTGAAGTTCGATCGGCACTTTCTCAATGAGCATATAGAAATTTGTCTGGACTAGACAAGCAAAAGCGTATCAGGCTTTGAGGTATAAACCATATGGATATTTGCTACATAGTAGTTAAGACCTACTCTGTTTCTCTTAATAATAACCCTGAAGGATACAATAAAAATTTCACCTTGTTGTTTACTATTATCATTTTTAAACTACCTCACCGTAGCAGTTATTTAGGATCGCAATGCAAGTTAAACTTCAAGACTGCCATGTATAACCATGTCCAAAGCCGATGCCCTCTGCTGATGATAATGGAAGCAATACAACACAGAGGGTTTGGCCCCCGCAACATACAATTTCAGCTTTTAGAAGCGATATTTTTGCACACGTGTCAAATGCGTGCATAGAATATTATGCTCGTGCAAGCATGAAAAGTAGTGATCCTATAAGACATGCAAATGAGAACATTCCTTCCGGCGCGGGCGTGCCTAAGATGAAATAGGAAGTTCATTTCGTATGTTGATACCTTTTTACGTTCGATTTCTTAGGTGTTTTGTCGGTGAGAATTTTTACAAATCATCCAAGAGGTCCTGCCGTCAAAACAGAGAAATCTTAATACCAGCAAACGTAGGTCGCTTCCACGGAGTGTCGGGTTAGCCAATGGCTCCAGGGTGTATCGATCCCACATCAGGTTTAGAACAAATTCAAAATAAAGGGGGCAGTATAACAAAATAGCACTTTGCTTTAACATGGTTTTGTATAATATGCCCGAACTTATGATATGACACGATTGGAAAGTAGATTAGGGCCCAACGAAAGACGATGTTAACATATTCACTTTTCAGGAAGTTTTTCTCCCCGGGTGGTGAGCTTGGCAAACTTTTCTCTTAGATGTTTCAAATATGTTCGGGGGCAAACTGTTATGCCCGCCGGTATCCTTTATGTACTGTTTACGTAGGGATTCGTTCAGGTTGGCCACAGAGTTCACTAAAAAAGCTAAACATTGCCAAAAATACCTAGAGCGGTTTGCAAATGGAGGAACTTCTGCACTAGCAAAATATTTACTATTAATATTAAAAAATATTATTATAATTACATGTTCACACTTAGTGTGTTGGGAGCCATTACCAGTAGTTGGTTAGAAAATCTACTGCCGCTTTGTTGAGATGGGCTCAATAGCACCACCAAGAAGAGGTAATACGTATATCTATCTATATATATATATATATATATATATTCAGCAGCGCTACAGCAGAGTCTTCATCGCAGTTCCGGATTTGCAGATTTCTAAGGGTAGTTTCAAAACGCAACGATCATACTCAGGAGGCTAGCAGAACTCAGTAAGCAAAGCATCCCATCGTAAAGCGGGCACGAAATGCTAGTATATTTTTCAGCTAAAAAAAAGGGCTTTTTTTAGACATTGATAGATGTTACCTAGGGCAAAATACAGCATGACAGCGATGGCTTCTATTAAATGAGTGTAAGAGACTCGCGCCTTCGTCCGATATTCGTTTCACGTTGGCTAAATAAAACGGGCTTGCAGTAATAAAGTAATGCAAACTACGTCTGATTACTTTATTAGGCATTATAATTTATTATTTAAAGTACTGGCCATTATGGCCGACAATCTAAGAGCTGCTACGAAAAGGCGAACCCCTCGCTGTTCAATCTCTCATCTCAATCGCTGCCGACTAAGCATCGTTCTAGACTAGCAATATATCGAAGTGGGCCTTTGTTTTACTTAATACGCTTTTTTTTTTAAGCACAAAAGAGTAGTTTGTTGTGCACAACACAGATTTGATACTGTATTGGCCATAACGCCTTTGAAATGATTAGCCATTTCTATAATCTCGTATAAGCCTACATCACACCGTAAGAGTGCGGTAACTTCCCATCGTGTTCCCACCACATTTTTTCAAGACTGAACGACTCGCATAAGACTTCGCGCAAAAACCATAGGTTATGCGAACTCTCGCGTGCCCTCTTGCGAAAAAATTATTAGTCAGCTTAGGTTGCGCCATATTCCAAACATTAGAAAGGGAGTTTTACGGAATTATTACCTGTCCTTATACCCTGCACGTGTTGTTAACGATAATATTTCAATCGTATTTTAGAAACGGCAACTCCACCTACGGCGACATATACTGGAAGTGTCTTGACGCTGGCGCAAAAAATAGCCGTTATCTCCCTTACGAGCTGTTCTTCTAATTGCGAGCACAGATAGATAAAACAATTGTTATACATTGGTAGACACGACAAATCGGTAGACTCTGTTAAAAAATCTTTCCCTATAATCTTACTGTGTGCTAAGTGCACTAGGACACATAGGGACCACGTGGAGAACATACGATGACCATGTGTACTGTTTCAGTTTCTATAAACTGCTATACGTCGTACGAATACAGTAAAAATACTAACATCGCTAAAAATCGGCGCTTCGCTAGAAGTACATTGAAAAATACCTTTTGAAAATGTAATTTTTGCCAGACGCGAATCTATGCGATGGTTAACAGTTGCAGCATCGAGAGCTTATTGTGGCAACGCCTGTTGTACGAGTTTTAAAGCCATCTGCTTGTTGAGACGCATTAGAACACAAGTTTTTAGGAACGAAAAAGTAAGTTTCTACACCCTAGGACAAGAGTTACTTCAGTATTTTTCTAGTCTAAGTCAGAGTTTGACAGATACCAAATAGAGGCCATCTGCACTTGCGTACTTATTTCATTTTAGGTTTAGAAAAGCAGACTTAACAATTTCTTTTGTATTTATTTATAACCTTATTTATGTTTATTCAGCTGAGTTTAAATGGCTGTTAAGCGCAGGCTCACGTATCGAAGATCATAACCGAAGCAAAGTAAAGCAATGTCTGTTAAAATCTAAAAAGCCTCGCGTTCTGCGTAAATTTAAACTTCTAACGATAAACTTGACGTTCACCCCGCCCCCCCCCCGTAAGAAAAATACTTCCGTCACTGAGGTCTATCACTTTTGCGGTAGTTTCGAATTTTGAAGCATTTTGTATTACATCAATATGGGCGCAGTCAAAACGCGCCTTTGTATCGAATAGCCCGCTGTTACATAGCTAGCAAA